ACCAAAGTTTCATAGAGGACCTCTTGCTAATTCAGTATAGTACAAATACTGTATTCAAACGTGACTCTTAGCTAATTCAGTATAGTACAAATATCTACAAGTGTAGATCTGAGTGCAGGGACTCGTGTAAGAATTTATCAGAGAAAAGCCATAGCCATATGTCCTCCTAGCCAACATGATGAGAGACAAAAGTACTGTAGATGCCCTTGTTGTAAAAATACTGACAACTCCACTTGTTTATTAAAGTCTAACCCTGGCCGTGCTCCAAAATCCATGTTTGATGCCACAAAGTAGGAAGAATAGCAAGGAATCCCTCCTGGCTGATGATCACCTAGTTTAGTATGTTACTCCACAGGATGAGATACTGCTGAGAAGACACACAGAAGTTTCATGCACAAAGCTGTTGGATTTTGGGTGCTGTTTAGATGGTCTGGGAAAAGCCCAAAGATGGCCTTGGGCCCCCGGGTTCGAAAGGACGAGAGGAAGCTTCAGATTTGTTCTTGGTCTTGGTGTTTATTAATTGCTTATCTAAAAGATTTTCTCTTGGCCTGACAGAGTTCTGCTCAGCAGTCAGCCATGGGCACACACTGCAAGCCCCTGGGGCGGCCACCTATCTTTATACCCGGAGTTACGTATACAATATTTATCATTTTTCTCCAATACCCTCTATCCTTATTAACCAGTGTTCCCCTAGCAAGGTCCAATCCTGGAGTGCCAACTCCACCACAGAAGATGGAGGCCTAGAGGAAGAAGAAGAAGGAGAAGGGCACGCCCCAGTACCTCCATCTTGCCTCTCTAGACCCCCCTGTACAGGGATCTTAAACCCTGTATCTCACACTCCAATTAACTTGTCCCTTCACCATTCACCCCAGTGAAATCCTCCCGTCCTCATACTGATGTCATCTCCCATGTGGGATCAAAGTCCAGCCACCAGACATTTCTGGCAACATTCCAGGACTCCCGAGCCCCCCAGGGGTAGTCTGGTTCACCCTGCGCCCCAGTTCTGAGAGACTGAGATCCCACACAAACCCAGTCATGCAAGAATCACTTTATATCTTTTTTTCTTTCTTTCTGCTCTCCACTCTTCCTCTTTTCCAGAGCTACAGCACAAGAGCAATCCAGCTACTGGTGAGGTGTTACTGTTTTTCAGTTCTGCTCAATAAATGGACTGAGAGCTGACACCATGGCTCCTTAGGCAAGGTCTGACAGTGAGTTTCCTGCCACTGCAACTCAGCCAGCACTGTGTGGTTCATTCATGGGGTAAGGATTCCTCACTTATATCCAAGAGTCAGCCAAAATCTGCCATATAAATCATACACTTGCTCATGTAGTCACTCAAAGCCACCTGAGTAATTCAGCAACCATTTCCACTTCCCATCCACCCACATATTTTTTAAAGCATGTAGTCCAGTGTTTACTACAATGCAGCTTTTTAAGACTTATGTACCTCAATATTTGCAGCAGGGAGCATACTGGTGCCAGTTCTAACTCTCAAGATTTCTTGAGATGAAAAAGCACTTTTGCTTTTCTTTAACTGGACAAATCCTCACTGGTCATGATTTTTTTTTTGTTCGTTTTGTCTGCATTTCTTTTTTTTTAAAACAAAAACAATTATATTGTTGTCATGAACTCTGATTAGATAGCCAATCTAATAGACTTTGAATTTTGTATTTTAGTCTCAAAAGACTGCATTTTATTAGTACAATTTGTTGAAAGTAAATGATTTTCAGTTTTTCAGTGTACCCATATAAAATGAAAAGAGATATTAACTTATGTAAACATCTACCCTAAGTTACCATTTCAAATGATGACCTTATGAGACTGGATAAAGAAACAGCCATTAACATAAACTGGTAGACTGCCATGAAACCAAAGGAGAAAGATAATGAGCTATCAAGCAGATTAGCATGAACTAAAACTGAAACAAACAACCCACACATTTTAAAAAAAAAGAAAAAGTAATAAACCAGCCTCCAGTCTTCAGTATTTACTGCACATATAATGTCAGGTTGTTATTTTCACTGACATCTCTCTGAGCCTCTGCACGTTGCAGTACCCTCTATTAGAAAGAACGCTGTCAGAACAGAAATAGCTTCATTTTCAGCTCTGTCTCCACTGAAAGTTTATTTTTGATTTTTTTCAACTCCAAATTCATCTTCAGGGGGAATCTTATCCAATGCTGAACCACACATAATGGTATCACTGTAATAAATAATTATATTAATTAATTTAAAAGCAAAGCAATATGATGACTGATTTTTAAAGGTGTTTGCTTGAGTTCCTTAACATATAGTCCATGTTCACTGCACAGTTTACCTCTCCTGTACTTGTAAACTACATGTGAATGGTACTTCTTCATTTTCTTTACACATCAGTTACTGGCATTATTTCTTAACAGAAAAGCAGCTTTTCCCAAATACTTTCAGCAGATTTTATTCTCTTCTGCCAACCTTAGAGGACTTGTCTGAACCTGGCCATTATGACTCCAATTTCATCTCCTTTGTACTTTTGCTGTGTTCAAGCCATGCAACTGATAATTAAAGCAGAATGAACCAAGGTGGGGAGTTGCCATCACAACAAGTAACTAAGCACTAGCAATGAGAGAAACCCAAGGTACTGAACCAGGGATAATGAAGGGTGTTTTTAACTGTATTTGTTCAGCTTCTCCCTGTAGCTCCTCCGCTATAACCTCTGCCACTGAACTCTCACTTTTGCGCTCTTCATTTCCCTCTCAGGTCCATATTTCCAACTTGCTGGAACGTCATCTCCTGAAACAGCTGCCTGTGTGCCTGCCTCTCTTTCTCAGCAAAGTGCTGCTCCTCCTGCAAGAATAAAAGTCTCACTATCCTTCTATGCACATAATGAACAGTATACACATCAAATCCACCGGCTGCCATCTGTTTTCCTGGTAGATTTTAGGACATTAATTATGTTACTATGAAAAAACTTTCAATGTGTTTGTGGCTTGACATCATTGTCTGTGTTTTACAGACTGTAATTCTGTCACTCTGTTTCTGGTTTAAACCTGTGGTACAATCTATATTCCATTTCCTGAGGATTGGACCTTCCAGAACATTGGACACTTGTTCCTGTCAGTCTTAGATCTTAGATTTGTCCTCTTTTAAAGAAAGATCTTATCTATGAAATGCATTGATCTTTTCTGCTACATAACAGATACTCATACACACACACAAACACCAGGAAGAAAACCTCTACTGAAAAGGTGAGTTCATGCAGTTCTCTGATATGAATCCTTCTCATTCTGCAAGGAGGGAGAGATCCACATATTTCTGCAGCACCATTTTTTCCTTTTCCTGCTTCCCACAAGCAAGAATGGATTTATCCAATCCATGATAAAAGGCAACATAGCAATGGAAAAATATACCCATTTGATCCAGTGTTCTCAATCACATTTACATACACACATGTGCAACACTGATTTCTCTTAAGCACTCCTGCAGTATGAGTGCACCTCTCACTTGAGGCATTCATGCTCAGACCCTATTAGGTGCCTGCCTGTATAATAAATTGCAAGGTATTACATGCACACAAAATAAACTTCATTTTATCTGGGAAAGGACAAATTTCTGAGCTGTAAATCACAATGTACTGACATTTTGGGAGCTGCTCAATTCATGCGTGATATATAGGTCTGGGTGGCAAACTGTTCTGGTGCTAAAAATATTATCATATATTTTACCTTCCCTGTCATTTAATTTACTGTCACTTCATCATCCCAGTGCTAGTCTGGTGCTACCAGTTTGCCTCTGATGGTCTGTATCAATTTGAATGAAAACAGACATTTTTTCCCTACCTTCATTTCTAAATCCTAACTATAAAAAATTTAATGTAAACAACAATAAACAATACATACTGTAAATAGGACTGAAAATCCTAACAAGAATATATATATATATATTCTTGTCAAGATTACTTCAGAAAAAGTTACCTTGCAACCTGAAAAATTACATCATTAAGCAGTCTCCTAAACTGGTTTTCAGAAATGGCGAACTTTTAGCTATTTATAATTTCCTTTTTTTTCTTTTATACCTAGAAATTTTTATTGCAACTTTAAGTTGCAGTCCCAACTTTTTCAGCTCAACTCTCCACAATTAAATACACTTTTCTACAATGCAGCTATTTGATTGACACAAACAGAGCAGGACACCATTTGCTTAACTGCTTCTAATTGCCAAAACCCTTCCACGAATCGCTTCTGTGGTGGATGTTCTTGTGACAAAGTGTTTCTAGAGCCTTATGCAACCTTAACTCAAATCCTTTTACACTTTCTTCACTATTTCTCTAGCACTGGAGCAGCCTCACATAATTCAGGGTAAGCAAAACTCCTGCTTGTTCCCACCACTGTTTCATAAGACCAAACAGATCTGTATGCATGTCTCAAGTATTAAACAATTACCAGGAATAATAAAATTCAGCAAACAGCACAACATTAAGACTTTACCCCTACTTTAGTCTGACTTTAGTGAGATGCTTGGACCCCTTTTTAAAACACTGCACAATGATTAAATAGCCAAAGAGAAAACAGTGCCTTTAAGTAATGTGCCGTGGACCATTACTTCACCCAAACAACTATCTATTAATGCATGAGCACATGGTGAACTGTCTTCTCAGAAGCCCAAACATCCTTTTTTACAATAGAATATCTTAACATCTTATTTCAAGAAATAAGGTTTGTTGAAGTTTGGTTTTAGTTTTTGGTTTTTTTGTTTTTTGTTGTTGTTGTTTTGTTTTGTTTTTGTTTTTTGTTAAACAGCTCCTGATGTATATTGTTTCTAAATAAAATGGTCATTTCTAACAATTTAAACCTTGCTTTTGAAGTGTCATTTGGGAGAAATGGAAAGAAAGGCAAATTTTCATTTCACTGCTACTGGTGAAAATGCAAAATAAGAAAGATAATAAATTGCACTTACACTAGCATAATCAAGATAAATATTTGTCATGTGGTAATAATGCAATAAGATACATAAAATTCAACCTACTTATCACATCAGATGTCCATAAGCCACAGTTCCACCTCAATCCAGAGAAAACTTGACCTGTTGAATATGAAGAAAACATTTTCACTCATGATGAAGTCTTGCCCTCTTTAGAACAGGCTAACAAACCATGGATTTGGGGAAGGGTGAAAAGCAGTTTAGCACCACAGACAACTTAGGATCCCAAAACTTTCTTTTCACTTTCTGTTACAATTCAAATATGAACTGATAAATCACTGATTTCCCAATCAGTGATTTAACTTTTTTTAATATTTATGCAGTGCTTACTGGGGTCTAGCATTGGGCTCTAAGAAGTATCTCAGAAAGATGTACAAAACCTGCTAGAGGTTACTGAAAAATTAGAATTGGTATGCACAAATTCTTATGATGCCCTTTGAATAAATCTTCAAAGATCAGAAAAAAACCCACGTTTTTCTTCCTTTATATTGTATTTGCAGGGATGCACCAACGATGGCAAGCATAATGCATCTGACTCCATTGTATCAGAAGGCTAATTTATAACTATTATACTATATTATATTAAAGAATACTATACTATACTAAAGAATACAGAAAGGATACTTACTGAATGCTAAAAAGATAATACTGAAAACTCATGATTCTTTCCAGAATCCCGACACAGCTTGGCCCCAATTGGCCAATGAGTCAAAACAACTTACACCAGAATCTAATTAGGTAATCACCTTAAACAATCTCCAGACACATTCCAGATGAGCACAACACAGGAGAAGCAAATGAGATAAGAATTGTTTTCCTTTTCTCTGAGGCCTCTCAGCTTTCTAGGAGAAAAATCCTGGGCAAAAGATTTTACTTCCACTTTTCGTCTTTGCTCCATTCTACATATTCTCTCTCTCAGAGAAAAACAAAAAGAAGGGGGTGGAAAAGGGAAATGGAAAGAGAAAATAAGGACTGTCAGGGAGATGAGGGGGCTCTTTTCTGCCAACAGTACCATTATATCCATTGCATTTTTATAAAATCAGCTCTTTAAAAATCATAGCCATCAAGTATTTAGTCCTCATATATTCAGCCTAAGATCTTGAACAATTTTGCTGAAATTTCTTGAGCTATAAAGCAAGACAAACAAGACTCCCTATCAGCCTGCATTCACTAGAAAGCAAGCAGAAATGAGAAGTGTCCAACACTCATAAATGTACGTAGAACATATTTATAGTGCTAATATTCTTGAAAAGAAAGCAGCTTCAACTCTCTACCAACATGACAGCAGTATAAGTGTGAGCTTGAGAGGATACAGCACACAATTTTCATCTTTTGGTGAACAGAAATGTAAGTTCTCAAGTGAAGAACAAAACATGAATCCACCATTGCTGACTTGTATTGTTTCACTGACTCCACTTAAGCAGCACAAGAAATCTTGTTTCAGAGTAGGCTATGAAAAGATACACAAGTCAGGATCATTTAACCTATGACACCTAATACAGTTTTTTTAAGGAATACCTATTAATGTTGGCCTTCCTGTTTTTCTGTATGTGATACGGATGCAGGAAACTTGACTCCATCAGAATGGGATCAGTAAGCAAAGGCTTAATTGCATTTCTACTCAATTGAGTGGCAGAACTTCCATTAACTTGATAGGGAGTAATAGCAGTTACTGAAGGGCAAAAGATCTTCCAGACCCCCTTTTCATGCCTTGGGCTAGAATGATATCCATCAATATTTAGGAAATAAGAAGGAGGAAAAAAATTTAAAATATAGGTGTTTGGAAGAGTTGATACAGGGGATTATTTCCATGTTTTTTTTGTTTGTTTTGTGGTGAGCCATGTTTGCACATAGCTAAGTGCAAACACAAAGTAAAATTTAACACCGTTAGATGCTGCAAGGTTCAAACCAGCAGTTGGACCTTTTAATGCATCAGGAAATTTCCTCAGGAATAATTCTGTCACAGCATACTTGGATGGTATGAAGAGGTAAGAGATGCAGACCACCAACTTTCTACTATGGCCTGCAAGTAAATTCATTTGTCACATACTTACACCTTCATGCAAGAGAAGAGTTACACATTCCTTTGTGCTGATTTGCAGCACTTGTTTGCTATTAGAACAGCTTTCTAGGGAACATTTCAGTAATTAAAAGAGAGGAGCTTAAACCAGTTGGACAGGGCTCTGTAGTTCAGATTAAATGTATCCACTGCTTTCAAATGAACAACCCAAAGCTGATTCTCCACCCCCACCCCTGTGAATTACACTTCACTTTGCTTTACATTTCCTGTGCCTTGAATATCTTTGAAGTAATATTTGCATTAGTTCCTCAGAAGCAGTCCAACCTCTGTCTGTGAAACTATTAGCAATAATAAATGAAACCAGCTCCTTCAGGCAGGGCCCTGCTGATCTCAGAAGGATCCCTCTCTACATTTCCCTGAAGGGGCCCAGGTCCTGTGGGTGGTCCAGGCGCTTGAGCTGGCTCTGCCATAGGAAGAGCCATGACTGAGAAGGGCTTTCACAGCCTCTTTCTATGAGGATCTGAGAACATTTTAAAGGTGAGTGGCAGGATAAACACTGGCATATCTATCTCATCTTTATAATATATTTGCTAAAATCTGAAGGGAAAAAAATTATGCTGCAAGATCCGTAATTTCTTTGAGAATTTTACTCTTTATGTTTTAAATCTATAGCGTCTTTGTCTTTATTTGCATTTTTGTTTAGAGGAAGATTTATTAATCAAAATCTGTGTAATGGAAATATATCAGCAATATGTTCAATCATTGGTACATATGTTTATTTAGATTTAAAAAAATTAGCTTGAAGATTCACCAGATTTAAAATACAGTGTTTTTCTTCTTTCAATTTCAGATGGATTTCCTTATATGCAGAGCTGAAAGCATTTCTTTTTTACATCAAGATGGAGTTCATGTCTCAATTTTCTCTTTGCTTCCTTCTTTCCAAAGACCATCACCTTTCAGTGCACAAAACAGTTATGCAATACTAATGATGGAAAAGATCTGTGAGTGAATCCTATTAGTTGTGCTCTGTGCTGTTTGTCTGCAATATGGCTGTTTACAATAGGGAATATTTTATCTTTGGACTAACCTGTCAGAGTAGGAAATGCACTATATGAAAGCTGATACAAATACAATTGGAAAAATGTGCAAGTCACACAAACCAATATCCAATTTCTCAAAAGAGTTAAAGCTTCAAAAAAATTGCAATTTTCTCAGTGAGCAAACTATTTGGCATGGAGTGTAATTCTGTTTTCCTCTTAAGGTTGTTTTACACTTACCATATATATGTTGTTACGTATTGTTTAATTCTCCCTCAAGTAACAATTTTAAGACCCTCAACTCTAAGTTATAATTCCCTAATGTCTGAGGCAAGATAAAAATTTATTGTTTCAAGTATGGGAAAGAACAACAGCTCAGGTATCACAGTGCCTCTAAAGACGAAGGCTTGTTTGGCTACTGCTCTTAGCCTGTGCAGAGCTTCCCAATGAGCCAGCCATGATGGGATAAACAGAGCAAAACTCCATGTCCTGAAGAATAATCTGCTCACCTTCATGGGAAGGACACACAGACAGCAAAAGTCATGCAAGACAAAGACAATGTGGGATCCCTCTGGTGGAGATACTGTGTCTGTGGCTCCCAAGGAACCAGGAACATCGGGAAGATTTTGCCAACACAAATTTTAAGGGAAATCTCATGATGCTGCTTCTCTTTTCTGCCATCCATAGGATGATCAAACCCTGTGACACAGCAATTCCTGTTTCATAGCTGTAGTACATCAGGAAAGAGTACCTCAAAGCCAAACCCCATGTAGAAAGACGAGCTCTTGATTTGGCTTCTAAATTCAGTATTTTGTAAATCATAGAAGCCTGCACACTATACTATAGTGATTAACCAAGACAAATTTTCACATTGCACTGTTTTCTAGCCATGAAATTCTGTAAAGCACAAGATAAGGATTGCTTCTTTCATCCAGAGCACCAGGAGACCACTGGCAATTTATTTTTGAGAGGACTTTAGATAGAAACAAAAAAGGCAGTGTTAATTAACATAACTCAGTATTTTCTTTTAAAAACAGTTTAATGTAACTGAGAAATTGAAAGTTTGGGGACCTGAGTTATGCACTGCTTGTGCACTCAGAAGATACAGAATTAACATGAGCAGGTCAAGCTTTTCCAAGTCTTTTTCCAGCTAATGTTCATTATCTATGGACTTCTGAAACCATGGAAGCCATAATGCAACCCAAAAACCAAGTCAACTACTTAGATTACCTAGTTAGATTGAGTAGATTTGCATAAAGGAGAGGGTAAAAAAGCAAAAAACCTTCTATCAAACCATTGTCATAATGTTTTGAGACCATTTTACAATGGAGCCAAGGAAAACTGCTCTATGCTCCTTATGCTCCTAAGAAAATACACTTTTTTTTTTTAATGAAAAGCAAAAAAAATTAATCTTACCAAGAAACATTAAATTTTATGGCTGGCATTTTGAAACACTTTATCTCTAAACTTTAAAAATAGTGCTACAAGACGTTGGACCTTGTTAATTCACTAATGTGATCCTGAGAAACCTTGCAAGTTAACACATTTAGATAAATGAGCAAACAAGTCAGAAGTGGGGGAAGGAAAACAGCTTTGAAGCACAACTCTGTACCACAGTTACTAAAGGCTAAAACTAAGATGTATTTGCTAAAGGTACCAACTGCACAATGCTTTACATGCATTCCAAACATCTATCTACAATAACTGATACTTGAATAATTAACATTTTCCAGTATCTTAGGTGAATTGAAGCAAACTACAATTATTGCGCAGACATGTTTCTGACCCAGCAAAGTGAAAGCCAGTGATGCAAAATGCAGTAAGCTACTAAAAGGCTGGCAGCCACAAGCTGCTGAGGTCAGGTACTGCATTCTGGAAACAGGGATGCAGCACCAGTACCATGGCAGAGCATTTGCGCAGAGGCATGACAAAACTCACAGGAGCCTTGCATCTGTCAGCCCCCCACAGATCACTGAACGAAGGAACAGCAATGAAACACACTGCATGTCAGGGACACCATTAAAATGAAGCATTTAAAAATTCAT